TAAATATATACATTTCAAACCAGTAGTGGATAGAAAAAAGAAACTGAAAATTCAAATGTACATAATAAAGGAGAAGAAAGAATAAAAAAAGAAACAGAACAAGAGAGATGAATATAAGGTACACAATATTGAAATAATTCCATATATATATTGACAGTCCTATTAACTGTAAGTTTGTCAGTTAAAGGACGAAAATTTGATATAGTAGATAAAAGAGCAAAATTTATCTCAAAGCTATGTTCAAAATTAATCTATAGTACAAAGACAGAAAAGATATGCTGAAAATATATAAAAATGAGATAAGACACAATTTTCAATTTGTAACTAAAGAAAGCTGGCATACCAATATATTAAGTTACAAAAATTTAAAGGCAAAAAGCATTACTAAAATTTAAAAAGTAGTCAGGATATAATACTAAATTAAAATGTAGGTTAAACATAAAATAGCTTCAAAATACATATTACAATACTTGTCAGAATAGCAAGGAAATATTTGCAGTCCACCACTAGAGCTACAGAATTAAACACACTTCTTTTGGTAACATCAAACACCCCATTCCCTGCCCCCATCATATGAATATGTCTATTGGCTCAACCTTAAGATTTGTAAAGCGCAACTAACCAGCTTGAGCCAATAGACATATCTCGATTGGAGAACATATGTTCTTGTCAGGTACATTAGTAATGTTGTATATAGTTACAAAGTAATTCTAGCAAATTTAAAGTATTGGTATCAAACAGATACATGGTTCCACAGCATAATGCAATTAAAATGTATATCCACAAATAAAATAGAAGAAATATCAGAAATAATGGAAAACAATTACTAGAAAAATATGGTTTTAGGGCAAAAAGAAAGGTTGGTACTATGGTATAGTGTTCAAGCATTACAGAAGAGATGGATGGAGAGACACAGGAAGGAGCGAGGGATTCCCTGCAGAAAGTTCAGTAAAACCCTAAACGAACTTCCCATTCAACTTCTCATCTGTCTCAGGCACATGTTATGCTGAGTTGCACTAAGTCCAGAGGGAGAATAGGGGTACTGCTGTGGCTCAGTGGCAGAGCATATGCTTTGCTCACAAGGTAAAATCCCCAGCAGTGCAAAAAGGGAGGATGAGGAGATAGAATGGATCTCGGGTCATGAGTGAACTAATGCTTCTAACAGAGACATAGTTGTTCATACTTATCAGGTCATGCTGTGCTTTCAGGTGAAACTAAAATGTTTTAATGATTGATAGAAGTATCACTTTCTCTTTCCAGAAACCCATTCAGTAGGCTCAGTCTTAGGAACTTTGATAGGTCCAAGAGCACAAGCAACTTGAATTTTCTAACATCACAACAACAGTCCCTTAGTCCAAGGAAGCGCTTGTGAGGTGCCCTGCCCCTCCCACCCCACACACATTCTTTTTCTGGCTTTAATTGCTCCCGGTTTTTTGAAGAATAGCTTAATTGTCCAAACCAGTGGTGGCGAAGATATGAAACGTGCACAGCAGGGTGTTTGTATCACTGAAAGGTCTAAAAGGTTTGCCATTACTGAACAATCTTTTTCTTTGTCTTTTTTTAAAAGGCTATGTCCTGTAGTTTGAATTGTGCAGACTAATGAAGATACCACCTTAGGACTGTCTTTATTTTTTGTTTTTTTCCCTGGCACAAAGAGTCATATGCTTTGCACGAAGGCATGATTTCTTTTGTAATTCTAATGCTTTTTTAAATAAGCTTACATTATTCAACACATAGGTATGTAGGTGAAGTGATATTGCACTACTAATTCTAATGTCCCCATTAAATAAGGAAACACATTTCCTGTTGCAAATATAAGGAAAAGAAAACTTAAGTGGTGATTAATAGTTATGTTATACAATAACATAGTAATAGTTTATATTATGCAATCTTTCTCATTTTGCATGAAACAGTCTATGATCTCCAATTTTCTCACACTCTTTTGAATAGTCCTAACACTTGAAGTATAAAAAACATAATATAGTTCATAAATAGTAATAAATAGAACTTGACCAAAATATTTCTATCAATATGCATTTTAATCACCAAAACCATTGACCTTTTTTTAGATCTCATGAAGTTTAATACTCTTTTTTTGTACTTTAGTGAAGCCACTCCTAACTAATTTTGGGACTCTGAGTTTTAGTTCTAAACCCTGAGTCCTGGCCAAACTGGGATGGTTGATCACCTTAACACCAGTGTACCCTCTGGCTACTGTCTAACTTCTCTCCTCCATATCAAAATTTTTCTCTATCTCCTCAGTTTGGCTTCTTGGTTCACTTCTAAACTCAGTGCGATTGGGCTTCTGCCTCTGTCACTCTGTACACATGGAGCTTTGTAAGAATCATCAACAATTTTCAACTTTTCCCTAAGGAGACTGCTAATACCAGTATGCACCAGTGGACCTTGCCACTGGGTCCTGCGCTGCTGATCACACCTTGCCTGACATCTTCACTCTTTAGGCTTCCATAGCAACACCGATTCCTTGTCTGACTAGTCTTTGAAACTCTTATTTGTGGACTGCCTCCTTCTGCTTGTTTTTTGAAAGATGATTTTCCTCTAGATTCTACACTTGATCATCTTATTACTCTACAGATCCTTTCCTCAGCAGATCTCACACATGCTTTTGCTGTGAGCCAATTCCTATAGGATGATGACTTTCAAATTTATACTTCATATCCACATTTCTTTCTTGTAAACTACCTACCTGTGAAATATCTGTATGCCCCATATGTAGTTTAATAATGTGGAAATGTTTTATTATGGCCTGTAGTGATTGCCTCTCTGATCCTCTTCCTTTTCATTGGTTATACTATCAGCAATTATTCACCTATGCCAAAAACTCTACTGTCATGCTTGATTATATTCTCTTTCATCTCCATTTAAACAATAACTTGTTCAATTTTAAGTCCTAAATAATTTTTAAATTGGCCCCTTTTTCCATTTTACTCTCATTTCCTAGGAACTGCTATCTTTTGTCTGAATCACTGAAAAACCTCTCAAATCATCGCCGCCTCCTCCTAGTTTGGCCTTCAGATTCTCTTCTGTGTACTTAATAGTTTCCAGTACATGAAGCACACTACAGTGTTTCCCACAGGACTTACATACAACCATGTGGATACCTTTACTATTGTATTTACTATGCTAAAAGCTATCTACCTATTTGTCTCCCCCATAAAATAGTGAATTTATTCAGAGGGGAGCTATGTTTTAATTTTGTATCCCTAAGCCTGCCTCTGTGGCCTGTGTGTGATATGGGCATATCAACTAAGGTTCGGAAAGACATTCAGCACACTTCGCTTTTCCATGACTGTTTTCTTCTGTTTCTTCTTCTAAAGGGATGGGACCCTGTGATACTATCTCTATATCCTCAAAAGGGCTTCACATATGGTTCACACTTAATAACTAGGCACAGAATGAATGAATCAATGTTTACATTTTCACACAATTGTCTGCAATGAATTAGTTTTGAGACACAATTAAATACTCAATTTAGAAGTTTCAAAACCCAAGTAATTCAAAACGTGTTTTTAAAAGCCTTTAGGTAGTTTAGAAAATATTTTTCTATGTAAATAAGATCAATTCATAAAGCATACATGCTAAATTCTTCATTAATGTGTCCAATAAGTCTTTAATATTTTTATTTCTAATAATGACTTAACCTTTGTAGCACAGAGTCATGAGCAAAACTCAGAGATTTATCTAGCATACTTAAATGCCATAACAATAGATTCTGGGCAGTTAGAAATTTGACATCATATACTGTGTATTTTTTATCACAATGATTTGAAATGGAAAAGTTGGAAGGAGAATTACATATTGTTTGTAATTTTCAAGCACACAATAAATGCTTAAGCTACCGTCTGGGCTTTAACTTAGCTATATGTTCAAAAGTAAACTGCAAAAGATTTATGGAAATTTAAATATAAATTTTTTACTAATTAACTTCTATTGAGGTAAAATAATATCAAGAATATGGGAAGATATTTTCTTCTACTTCATCTTCATACTCTCTTGAAGTAACAGTAAGTCATCCTGGCATTCTAACTCATGTGATGAACATAACTGTTACTTGCCAGATACTTAGTAGTTAGAGAACAGAGATCTAGTTTTCAACGTGTATTTTTTTGACATGTGACTTAGTTCAAACATTCTACCAGAAGGCCAAAGTTGTACAGAATAAAAATTATTTATTGAGTCTTCACATTTATGGGAAATCGTTATGTAGTGTAACAGAGATAGAACCCTATACCATTGGAATGAGAGACTAAGGTAAATGTAGATAATTTTAACTTTTCCTTTCATTAATATTAAACTAGTTGTTTATGTAACAATTAAGAATAATAATAGTAATAATAATGGATTATTTTAAAATATTTTTTTGTTTAATGGAAGAAGTTTTATACAATAAAAAATGTAATTTAAATGTAGCACAGTGGGCTTCATACTATGTATCAGAAGTGTTCACTGAAATCAAGATAAATCTTCACATTCATATGTAAATAAATATGCTTATCTAGTTACATAGCTCTCCATATTTTTCCGAGTTTCAAAAATACAAGGGAAAATAACTTGTGTATTTAACTTTCAAAAATAGGTGAATTGTTTCATAGGAGATCTGTAATTTTCAAAAATTTGTAAGAGTATTTATTTTCATTAAAATTTTTACTTTGATTTCATGTTTAAATGAATGGTTTTGTAAGGTAGAGAGTTTTTAGAAAGTAACTCAAAATGGTTTCTATTGTCTAGTTCTAAGTACATATAGGAAACCATTTCAGGACTCTTCATTTTTCTTGATTCAGAGGGAAATACACTATCTACTTAAGTGATTTAGAGTGAGAGATAGGGTGACTAATTATCCTAGTTTGTCCTAGATATTTCCTATAAAATAAAAGTCCCATATCCTAGAAAACTCCTTAGTCCCAGGACAAACCAGGAAAGTTGTCAATCCTACTGACAGACAAGCTAAATTTTGAAGTTTTCATATAACAGAGCCTTACCTTAACATCGTTGGTGTTCATCCTTGTTCTCTCCTTCCCCACAAATATATCATCAATGTCCACGAGAATATACCTGTCCAAGGACAATGTCAGTCTCTTCCCTGACAAGAAGGAGATGGCATCTACAAAGATGAGCTTATGTAGCCAAAAGTTTAAGTTGTTGCCAAAGAGAACTCTCTGAATTCCATCATGAAGCCCCAAGTCATGTATGATAGTGGCATAAAAAGCACCTTTAGAGATGGGAGGAGAAAAGTTTTCTGGGGTCTTTACTTTGGCAGATATTACTGGTTGGTAAGCTGAGTGATTAATCTGAAAAACTGTCCAGTCGGTTCCAGGTAAAGAGCCTTTTTCGAGCTTAGAAGACTTGGTCACATGAAGCAATGGAGAGTGAGGATTAATACAACAATCTTTTACTGCAAGGTTTCCATATATGGAAAAAGGGAAACCTTTTAACTGAAAGCTCTGTAGACTCTTCTCACTAGTTTTGTGGAATCCAATAACACCCACACCATATTCCAAACAGTATTTATCTAGAAGGCTTCGATTCCAAGAGTCCATATTAATATACTTTAAAATATTCTCATAAATGATGAGAATGTATTTGCCTTTAGTTTTGTCTATAAGTGCTGGGAGATCTCCTTTTCCAGGAGCAATTTCAATGTGATATTGGAATCTGCTTGATTCTAGAATCATAATTATGTCTTGACCAAGGGATGAGTACTGGCTTTCTACAAACACCAGGACTATGGGATCTGTCCTTGAGGCATCAAAGAGCTTTGTTGTCTTCACTTCCATTAGCCGATATGGTAGGTGTTGCAGGTCACTACAGTCTACTTCTAAAGCCATCTCAGAGAGTTCATTTTCCTGTTTGTAGCCACTGTACAGATAGTAAGCAGAAATAATAATGCTCACCATACAAAAAGTGGCAAGCAGAATGACAGTCCTTTGAAAGTGTCTGTGAAGCTTCATGATAAAACTCATGTTGTGTATATTTTTTCTTGACTATTCCAATAGACGCACCATAAATAGGTCAATGAAAAGATGGTGTTTCAGCTGCTTTCCCAGTCTCATTCAATAGTTTATGTCACCATTGCAGCACATTTGTATTGCTTGATCAGGACTTACAGAAAATATAGTCTGAAAATAAAATAGAATAGAATATGTTCAGTACATAAAATTAAAATGAGCAAGTTTTTATCTTGCATCGTGACTAGCATAAGTGACAAACTAGTAACACTAGTAGACAGATGTAAGTTAGATATAAGTTAGAACTGGTGTAAGTTAGAAAGATGCTCTGTCTCCCAAATCTGGATGAGGACTCCAATGAATACAGGATTTCTCTGCCTGGTACAGAAGCAGACATTGGGGTAACATGGAATTTCTTTTTATTCAGTAAGCTTTGTGTCAAGCATTGTAGATAATATACATGTAAAAACACTGAGAGGTTTCCTGAGGCATACATGCCATTTCCCACCATCCAGATATATGTCACATAATGCATATTCAAACTTTGTATGTTTAATTACATGCACTAAAACATCACAAAAGTTTGACCATAGTTTATTAAATGCCTCAATTAAAATATTAGCTTTTTTTCTTTTCTAGAAGGTTGTTAAAACAATGAATGCTATAATTCTATATTCATTTTAAACTCATTAGAGAAACAACCCTATACTAGTTGCTTTCATTTGAATAACCTTTTCAAAATACAGACATGGTCTCCAGTTGGTCATTTTATAACTGTATATTTACATAGCTGTGAATTTTTAATTTCAGAAGAGTCATGTGGGTGGGATGAATGAGAGAAACAGAACTCTTTCTGGAGTTCTTCAGCCCCGCGTATTATGGCCTGGTACCAGGCACAGTGCACCAGAGCAGTTACCCACAGATTCACTTTCTGCACCAACCTGGTTCTGCTCTTTTGGAGAGGGCTCAGTAACTACATGAAGAAATACCAGAAAAATGTTTGAAAAACTCATAATGAAAACAATTGAAATGTCACAAAACAGCTTATTGTACAATAGTTTCAAACCTCTTTCAAGTCTTACTGAGTTTTGAAAATTTAGTAACATTGAAAAATAATAAACGTATTTCTAAAGCAAAAGGTTAGGAAAGCTTATCATTTTGGCACTCTGCAAGGAAATATTATAGAATATAAATGTTTTAACAAGACTTATCATTGTCCAGAAGGCTAAAAGATACCTGTCAAGACAACAAACATGGGCGGAAAACACTGTAGTTGGTTTGCAATCATTTTAGGGTTTACAGCACCTTTACTTCTTACCTGTATCCTTTTACTCCAGTGCCTTCCAAATAAAATGATGAGATCAGAATAAATGAGCACCAAAAAAACCTAGACTTAAAATTCTGTGATATTTCCCTGTAAGATATGCAGTGAACAATATTTTGAATAATGTATTTTTATCTTTATAAATAATATATTCTGGAATATAACCACAAAACATTTAGGATATTCATCCTATAAACTTTATTTTGTAGTTTATTCAAATAGTTAGGGTATCTATGTCACTTATTTAAATATTCATAGGATAGCTAACTTTTTGTTTTAAAATGTAAATGCTCAGCACAGTGAATTTCTTTATAGCATTCTAACTTTGAAAGGTGAGACAGTGACTATAATGATAACGTGTGGGCTATGGAATTGAAATGAATGACTGTAATGGGATGAGAGAAGAGAGACCACAGCAACGGGGAGAATCTGCAAAATGCCCTGGGGTGTAGGATTTGGGCAGAACTTTGAAGGATGAGGATAATTCAAATAGACATTTGAGATATAGGAAATGCTATAGAGATAGGAATGAGCATAATATTGGGCAAGGGACATGAAAGAAAAGTAGAAGGGAAAATACTTAAAAATGAATTTGACTATATAAGAGTAACCAAGAATCTGGAGAGATTTGCTAGCACAGCACTTCATGGTTTTGAAAGCTCACAGGGAGACATCATACTTCCATGATTAGGGGAAAAACACGGTAAGAGCAAGATTTCTCCAGAATGAGAATTAATAACATCAAGGATATCATAGAGGAGTCTTAGAGAGTTTAGTTTGGCAAGCCAGTGTAGGCTCATTTCTTAAAATGGAATCATGAATGTTAATGATTACAGGAATGGGGAATATGGGAGTGGGATAAGTCTGAGGATTACCTCGACTCTCACTGAAAAGAACTTGCTGTGCAATGTGAGGTTTGTGTACATCATCACTCTCCCAGGACAAATATCATCAAGTGACCTGACATACTCCAGAATAAATCCAATAGAAAGGCTAGAATCAACTCTTCTAATCTTATGCTAAGTATGGATCTGGGAACAATTTAATAAACAAAAAAATTATCTGACAGTTTAAATTGTAACTGTAGTTATTTTGTTTTCATAAGTAATTGCAATTTCAAAGTTGTGTACATGTTTATGAGTGCAATATTCAGTAGTATAACAACGGGATACAAAATCTCACATCCTTCCATGTCTGTATTTCAATTGTAGCTGTGAAATGTTTGTGACTGGATATAGAATGTATTGCCACATTTTGCATTTCAGATAGCAGCATTTCACAGTTTGTTCCCATTGTCAGAAGTGAAAGGCATGACACTCATACAATTTTTATCTCAGATGTCAAAGAGTTATGAGGAGTATTTGCTATGTGTATTTAGAGCAAATATTTGGAACTGATCAAAGTTATGTTTTCTGTTAGCAGATATAAAATGATGAAGGGCATTTCTTTTCTGCTAAACTTTTCCAGTTTCCTTCTGATGCCAAAAGGAATCCCACTGTATGTCTCTGAAGGTAGGATGTGGTCTACATATTTAAAGGGATAATTTAAGAGTCTCCTGTTTTCTGCAGTCTTTTTATCTGCACATCTTACTTGAACATGGCCAATTTAGTTTCTGTGTGGACACTGAGATTTAATTTTCATACTACAACCCTGTTTTAGTTAGCTTTATGTCACTGGAAAAAATACACCCACACTTTAAAGAAAGAGAGGTTTATTTTGGTTCATGGCTTTCAGGGTTCAGTCCATGGTTAGGTGCCTTTAAGGCAGAAACACCATAGCAGAAGGGTGTGGTAGAGCAAAGCTGCTGAGATTATGCTGCCAGGAAGCTGAGCAGGGTAACAGTGCTGGAGAGGAAAAAGCCAGAGACCAAATTTAGTAGACAGGGTCACCCTCTATGACCCAGCCAAACACACCGCAGACTGTACTTTATTAATCCCCTAAGTGGCTCTCAAGCCAATTAAGTTAAAAGCAAAGCATAACTGTCAATAACCTTATACAGGAACAGCTACTTCCCCATCTCTACTGTTTCTGTTAAATCTGCAAACTTCAGGATGGACTGAACTGTTGGTCTTGCTCCTTATGCTACAGGGAATGACACTAGAGCAGCAGCATTCTTTTCCTGAGCCCTTCATGGGAGGGGCATTACTAGGACAGGTAAATAAAGAAAATTAAGGTTCTCCACAAAATTTCCATGTGAAATTTTCTCTGACCTTGTAAACTTAGTAAGACTTAGAAGGCACACATAGTTATTGTGAAAAGTACCTCTTCTTTATCCTTATTGCTACAATTATAATTAAAATTTTGTTTAAATCATTCTTCCTGTTGGAGTAGAAATGCCAGGATTAAAGGTAATGCCTTTTTTTTCCCAATCATTTTGTCCTTCATGTAAGCACTCAATGACTATGGAAATTTATTGAATACAATGGCATATTGCAATGAATACAGGTTGATTTTACATTTCTACTTTATTCTAATGGCATAACTTTTCAAAAGTTGTTTGTGGATATTAATATGAGTATAGTTATACATAAATTTACTGGGCTTAATGTCCGCCTATTGAATAGTAAGTAAATATAATCATAGCAGCCTAACATGTGACAAATCTAGTACCATATTATCTTTGGTATAAATGTAGATATATAAACAGTATAACTTTTTATTATTATGGTATGTATGGAATGGCATAATTATGATATAGTAAATTCATAATCACATGCTAAAAACATGAATATATACATGCTATATATATGGTTACAAATATATACTGTAAAGATATAAAACTTCATTCCAAAATACCTATCAATTAATCATTCTGCAAGCAGTCATCAGTATCTATTGAACTGCTTTGAATTAGTGCTGCACTCGATGCTGAGACCACCTCAGAAGCAATATTAGGACTGATTCTTGCCTCTGTAAAGATGGATTCTACTTAGGGAAATGAGACTTGTAAAACAACAGCCATGATTATGTTGCACAGAAAAAACTGTGATTTATGTGTTATGAACTGTATTTGTCACAGGTTTCATAAGGGGGTCGGGGAGACATGAAGCTTAGCAAAGGCAGTGGCAATTTCTAAGGGCCATGGTTCCTGAGGAGGACCTTGCAATTATGGGCAAGGCTTGGATGTAGGACAGGGAGAACAAAGCAGGCAAAAATCCCTGGCCAGGTTGAAGAAATAAAAGGGTTACAATGTGTTTACTAGAGAGTGAGCATAAACAAATTATAGGACACTCTGTGTCAAGATGAAGTTGGAAATATTTGGTTGAAAGAGTGCTGCAGATGAATGTCTTTGGAAATGGTCATGAAGTACAAGAGTATCAACCTAGAAACAGAGAGCATCAGATATATTTGAACAGATACAACAAACATAGTGTCCACAGGTGATCTGTATAGCAAAGGAAACCAGAGTGGACAGACAATAGTAACAGGAACAGAGAGTACGTGTTACACAGTACACAGTGAAGAAGTAGGTAGAGTTGGGACAGTCCCAGCTGAGGGTCTGTTGCAGTAATCCATGTGGGAGGTGGTGTGAGTCCAGAATGTGTTGGTTATTAGAATGAAAGGGAAGAAACTCTTGGGAGGAGAGCAGGAATTATGATAAGAGAGTGGCAGGCTTGGGGACTAGAAGATAAAGGTGCCAGCAACAGAAATACAAAGTTTAGCACAGAAATTAGCTGGGGTGAGTGATATACATTTTGGATTCAGGCAGATAAAATGATTAAATGATGCATGGGGAAAGATCAAAATCACAGTGCTCTATAAAATAGTTGAATATAGGTACATAAATTCAAGAAAATCTTTGAAATCAATGCAAACATCAATATGCTACATAAACATAATTCCTCAG